TGTCCATCTCAATCGTTTATTGATGTGCGACTTACATAAGTAGGATCTATTGTAAATCCATATGAAAGATAAATTATTTTTTAATTAAAAAAATGAAAGAAAAATTATTTTTTAATTTAAAAAATGAAATAATTTAATTTTACAGTAAGGTCAAGACACGAGTTTAACTTTAAAAAACTTCTAAAAATTAAAAGATACAACGGTGCACAAGACAAACTACAAATTTAATTTACAGTCAATTAGAACCTTTTATAATATTTTTTTTTCTTTGGTGCCATTAAAAAAGGCCAATATCCTTTTCTAATCTTATTATCATAAGTACTCCCAAGGTCAAGACACATGTTTAGCTTGGAAAAACTTTAAAAAATTGACAGATACAACGGTGCACAAGACAAACCATAAATTTAATTTACAGTCAATTGGAACTTTTTATAGTATTTTTTTTTCTTTGGTGCTATTGAAAAAGGCCAATACCCCTTTCTAATCTTATTATCCTAAGCACTCCCAAAGTCAAGACACGAGTTTAGCTTAGAAAAACTTTTAAAAATTGACAGATACAACGGTGCATAAGACAAACCGTAAATTTAATTTATAGTCAATTAGAACCTTTTATAGTATTTTGTTTTTCTTTGGTGCTATTGAAAAAGGCCAATACCCCTTTCTAATCTTATTATCCTAAGCACTCCCAAGGTCAAGACACGAGTTTAGCTTGGAAAAACTTTTAAAAATCGACAGATACAATGGTGCACAAGACAAACCGCAAATTTAATTTACAGTCAATTTGAACCTTTTATAATATTTTTTTTTCTTTGGTGCTATTGAAAAAGGCCAATACCCCTTTCTAATCTTATTATCCTAAGCACTCCCAAGGTCAAGACACGAGTTTAGCTTGAAAAAACTTCTAAAAATTAAAAGATACAACGGTGCACAAGACAAACCACAAATTTAATTTACAGTCAATTAGAACCTTTTATAATTTTTTTTTTCTTTGGTGCCATTAAAAAAAGGCCAATACCCTTTTCTAATCTTATTATCATAAGCACTCCCAAGGTCAAGACACATGTTTAGCTTGAAAAAACTTTAAAAATTTGACAGATACAACGGTGCACAAGACAAACCATAAATTTAATTTACAATCAATTGGAACCTTTAATAGTATTTTTCTTTCTTTGGTGCTATTGAAAAAGGCCAATACGCATTTCTAATCTTATTATCCTAAGCACTCCCAAAGTCAAGACACGAGTTTAGCTTGGAAAAACTTTTAAAAATTGACAGATACAACGGTGCATAAGACAAACCATAAATTTAATTTACAGTCAATTGGAACCTTTTATAGTATTTTGTTTTTCTTTGGTGCTATTGAAAAAGGCCAATACCCCTTTCTAATCTTATTATCCTAAGCACTCCCAAGGTTAAGACACGAGTTTAGCTTGGAAAAACTTTTAAAAATCGATAGATACAATGGTGCACAAGACAAACCGTAAATTTAATTTACAGTCAATTAGAACCTTTTATAGTTTTTTTTTCTTTGGTGCTATTGAAAAATGCCAACACCCCTTTCTAATATTATTATCTTAAGCACTCCCAAGGTCAAGACACGAATTTAGCTTGAAAAAACTTTAAAAATTTGACAGACACAACAGTGCACAAGACAAACCACAAATTTAATTTATAGTCAATTGGAACCTTTTATAGTATTTTTTTTTCTTTGGTGCTATTGAAAAAGACCAATACCTCTTTCTAATTTTATTATCCTAACCACTCTCAAAGTCAAGACACGAGTTTAGCTTGGAAAAACTTTTAAAAATTGACATATATAACGATGCACAAGACACACCACAAATTTAATTTATAGTTAATTAGAACATTTTATAGTATTTTTTTTTCTTTGGTGCTATTGAAAAAGGCCAATACCCCTTTCTAATCTTATTATCCTAAGCACTCCCAAGGTCAAGACACGAGTTTAGTTTGAAAAAACTTTTAAAAATTGACAGCTACAATGATGCACAAGACAAATCACAAATTTAATTTACAGTCAATTAGAACCTTTTATAATATTTTTATTTTTTTTGGTGATATTGAAAAAGGCCAATACCCCTTTCTAATCTTATTATCCTAAGCACTCCCAGCAATCCGTTGGAGATTACAATATGGTTTCCAGCGAAAAGAGAAAGTGCTTGGTCTAGTACCTGAATAACATCTTAATCAGAGAGATCTGACGGACAATTATTCTATATATTATTCAATAAAAGTATAATTTATTGACGTCTTATATCATTTACATCCTAATTAAGCCTAATATTTTTCTTTGTCAATATTAGTTGACCATTCTCGCAACTCAATGTAGAACACGCGTTCTGCCACTTAAAAGGTCAAATTAGTTCGGGGTTGTTCTTTTATATTTTTAATTAGAGTAATTTGAGTGATGATTTTGAGTTAAATTTGAGTTATAATTTGAGTTAAAGTTATAAATTGAGTTTATATTTAAATGTGCATATTTAAGTTATGATTTGAATTGCGAATCTTTTTGAGTTTGTGTTTGGATAAGTAAAAACTTAAATTTGTATTTAGATAGTATTTTAATAAAAACTCAACGGTAATGACAAATTTTAATAAGGTATATGAATGAGATTTTATTCGTCTTTTCATTGTGAATGCATAGAAATAAAATAATCTCAATCAGAATTAAAATGAAAAAGTTATGATATTTTTAAGAATATAAAAAATACTGCTCATTAACTTGAGTTTGAGTTTATAAATTGGAATTAAAGGAAAAACTTGAACTCGAGTTCAGCCATAAATTCAAGTTTAAACTTAAATTTTACAAAATAACATAAACTTAAATAAAATTATAACTCGAGTTCAAATTTTTTCTGAATTTTATTAGAAAAGAATGACTTCTTTATAATTACAAGTTGTTATTTTCATATTTGGTGATTCCACAATTGAAAATATAGGAAGTAACAAATTTGTTTGTGAGGCTCACTCTCTCTCTCTCTCTCTCTCTCTCTCTCTCTCTCTCTCTCTCTCTCTCTCTCTCTCTCTCTCTCTCTCTCTCTCTGCCATGTTGGGAAAGAATATTGCATGACAACGAAGCTAATGGCTTAAACATTGTCAACAATAGTTGGGGACAACTCAGCTAAAAAGCCCATTTATCCATTAACGGGCATGTAATTGTTGTTGGGACTTGGGAAATCTAGAGGAATGCTTCTCATTGGCATAATATATATATATATTTTTTTTTTTTTTCTAAATACTAATTTATGTCCTCAAATTCTCTCATTATGTATGAATTCATGAGTTTTGTTATTTCACTTGACTATACCAATTGACAACAGTTTGAACGATACAATCTATGATGATGAGTTCATAAATCAGGATTAAGCTCATCTCATGTGACCATTCTTATAGAAAATACAACCATCTCGATGGAAATTAAATGAAAATACGTTCAATGTAGTTTGTTAAATTAACGTTTGGTTTATAGATTATAATCATGTAATTAGAATTATTTTTTATTTACGTGTATTTTTTATGAGAGAAAACACTGTAATGAACCATGATTCAAATCATGGTTTGAATCCTACAACCAAATATTTATGTCACCAATTATAATAGTTTGTGACAAAATCATCTCGTTTATAATAAATATAGGCAACTTTACACTCTCATAAAAATCATATACTCAAATTTATTTACTGACTATGTTATAATAATTTAAATTTTTTTTTTTTTTTTATATAAACACGTCGTACCTAATTAAATGGTCAATTATAATTGTGGAGCTTTATAACATTTCACTCAACGTATAAGGCCTTAAACTCAAACACGTTATATGCGATAGAAGTAAAAATAAACAATATATTGATTTTCTTCTCTAACAACGAGCTCGATGTTGAAGTATCGACTTTTGTAACGACTAAAATAGATAAGTCTATTGGTCCATGCAATTGTCAATGTACTAATAGAAGTTTAAAATAACAACCGCATTTCTTATTTCTTTAGGTAAAACTTCAGAGCAAGCACGGATGTATTTAATTTTCGTTTATTTCATAGCTTTAAACTATTGTTTTAACATTTATGTTACCGTATTTTCTCTTATAAAAATTAAATTTTTTATTTAAATTTTTCTGTTTAAACCTACAAACCAAACGAGCCACCAGTGTCATAAGACAAGTGAAACATGCTTTATAAACACTTAATAATATTAATATTATTAAGAACGAAATTTCTCCAAGTTATATTGTTGTTTCAAACATAAAAAACCATTTTAATCATTATTTTGAGATTAAGGTTTGATTAGAAAATCGAAGATGAAGAGATATAATGACAAAAAGAAAAAAATATTGATAATTCTCTTTAGGCGTTTACACATGTTAATTGTTACGAAAATGTGGCACATTCCAACACTTAAACAAAATTCAAAACTAAAATTATAAAAGTTCAAAGAGTGAAAATGTCAAAGCTTAAAAAACTGTGGGGTATTTGGTTGGAGGATTCAAAACATAATTTGAATCATGGTTTATAGTTTGTTACAGTACTTTCTCTCATAAAAAATACACGTACGTCAAAAATAATTCTAATCACATGATTCTAATTTATGAACCAAACGTCTCCGTGCCCGAAGTGTTAAAAACAAGAAATGAAATGCTAAAACCGGAGCATAATGGTTGGCTTAAGATGAAAATTAGCAAGATGACAGCGCTCGTTATAAATCCTGGCCAATCACGCGCTGTGGTTGACAAAATTCAGGAGACGTTTGGTTCATAGATTAAAATTATTTTTAATTTACGTGTATTTTTTATAAGAGAAAATACTGTAACAAACCACAAACTATAATTCAAATCGGGATACGAATTTCCTAATCAACACAACTCCTCAGTCTCCGACAGGTGATCCAATTATCTCTCCTCTACTCGATCTCAAAATCGGCGATAAAATCTCCCGATATACTCGGGCGATTCGCCCGATATTTTCACCTACTCATCTTCATACTCAGACTCAAAAATCTTTTTTGGCGGGTCCCACTTCTATTCTGCGCAGTCTCTCCTTCCCCTTCCCTGGAGTCTCTCCTGGAAAATTTACTCAATTTTCATTTACCGTAAATAAAATATTCTCTTCCATAATCAAAGCAAGAAAAAAAAGAAAAAGGAGCTTACCTTTTATTTATATTTATTTATTTATTTTGGGGCTAATAAAAACAGTGAGAGATTCGATCCGGTACTAGTCTCGGCGACAGTTGGATACAGAGAGAGAGAAGAGAGAGGAGAGAACAACATCGAGAGCTTACGGGCATCGTTCATGTCGGAACAGTCGATGATGAGGCAATTGAGCACCAGCTGAATCGCCGCCGTCGTTTTTGTCGGAAAACGAGGTTGTGTTTTTGCTCTGGACTAGGTCAGTCAGATTCAGTTCTCTTCTTCGACTAGTCCGAGGTCTGGGAAACCCTAGGTCCGCAATTCCTCACGTGTCGTGCCTTGTGCGATTGAATTCGCCGCATTTCGTTGATATTTGTTTCGTGTATTTCGCGAAACGATAGAGATTATTATCATCGTTCTTCATTTTTATTCTTCCGATGTCTTCTTTTTTTGGTTGATGAAGTTTGGAAATGGAGAGTTGAAATTTGGTTTGACATGTTTTCTTTTGAAGCTCTTGTTAGTCTTTTTGTTTGAATTTCTGCTTTTGTAACCTTGACGAACAAATTAGGATAGAAAATAGGAATGCTTGAATGCAAGCATTTTTTTGATCTAAAAGTTTTTAAGGATAATGATTTGCGGCTAAGGAGTAGAGAATATATTTCAGCAAAAAAAAAAAAAAAAGATTAGAAATTCTAAGGTACAGGCACGTAAAGCTTTGATTTATTTTTAGTACATTACGATTCTTTACAGGCACGTAAAGCTTTGATTTATTTTTAGTACATTACGATTCTTTCTTCTCTATGAAGATTAAATAGAAAAAGGTGGCTTGTGATTCTGTTGTTTGGAAGTTCCAATTTGGGATTGCTTGAGCTTCTCCATCGTGGGTTTTTCTTGGCCCATTTTACATATATTTAGATTGGCTTTTGGAAACGAAAAACCGTGTTCTTCTTTGCTACTCTTTTTTCTTCTATAACTTGTACTTGAGCTACTGGGGAAGTAAATCATAATGCATCTTGGAGTCTGATGAGGGGTCATTGGTGGTGTAGTTGGATTGTCAACTCAGAGTCAGAATAAGTGTATTCTGAAATTGGGTTGTAAAGGGTGATTGTTAGTTTGTTATGCCATGGAAAAGTTTCTGGACTGTGGGTTTCTAGGATTTTTTTTTTTTTGGTGGGGTGCATTTTGAAAGATGAATCGGGAGCATTAGTTTTCAGTTCTAGAAAGGGAATAATGAAGTGTATGGAAACTTCCTGAACTCTATTGGCTGTGTGGGGTGCTGATGAAATGCAAAAAAGATTGGTTCAGCAAGCAAATTAAGGGGTGTTGAATTTTATGTTTACAATGGAACAACAAGGGCATGATACTAACTTTTGAGATGTAGAGAATTAAGCCTTCCGTGAGATGGTTGGCAATGCTAATTATGATTCTATATCGAGGGGGCACTTTCTCTTTCGTAAATTTTCTTTAGAAATCCGTTTACGAAGTTATATCTAGTTAGTTTTTGTTTCATTGCATTGATGTTCCTTCTTTCGTATCATTCCCTATTTTTACTTCGAATTTGTTATTTTGTAGCAATTGCCATTAATTATGGTTTCTTCCCTTTGGTTCCAGTACTGCCCTAAACACTGCCTTCAAAATGGTGTAGGTCTTTCTGCCTTGCTTTCTGAAGATATTGCACTTGTCTTTGGAATGCATCTCATATTAGTTGGTCTTGGGAGCAGAATTCTTGCGTCAGAGTTGGATGGTGGTAGCGTGCATTTTTCCTGAATATGCTAGAGTCGAGTAAATTTAACTCCACGTGTTGATGCTGGTTCCCTCCGGAAGTGCTTTGGGTCATATTTTTCTTTCTGATCCCATAACTTATCCAATGGCGTGTAGTGCTGTTTCGATTACCTCAGTCAAGAATTATTGTTAATAAATCTAAATATATTGTTTGGCATTTGCAATTAAAGATCTGATTTACATTGTATCTAACATTTTTTAGATTTATTTGGCTTTAAAAGGGAAAAATTAATAAAGAAACCCTTTGATAAAGTCACTTGATTTGTCTGCTGTTTTCTGTTGAACAAAGGGAATATGCTACCAAATTGGACGAAAGTCATGAAACTTCGCATTATTTTGCTTACCTCCTTGGCATGCACTTTACTTTCTTTCTTTGTAAAATATAGGAGCAAAGACAGTTTTAAGAGTGTTTTATAAGAAGAAAGCATGGAGCATATATTAGAGAAGAGGTTCCCAGTTGATGCAAAAGATTATAAGTTATATGAAGAAGTTGGTGAAGGTGTCAGCGCCACTGTGTACAGGGCTCTCTGCGTTCCACTTAACTTGATTGTTGCAATCAAGGTTCTTGATTTGGAAAAATGTAATAATGACCTGGTATGTATGCCAATTCCACTTAGTAGCTCAAATTGTCCAAGTTTCTCTCTCTTAATGTATTTTATTGTTGCCGAATAGATGCTCACTTTGATTTTCCCTTTAAACTTTCAAAATAGCATTGGGTCTTTGACTTAACATTTATGTATTTGGTTACACTTTGTGCATATCTATTGCTTGTTTCTTTATGTTAGGTAATTTGAGATTTATTTTCTGAGCTAGCTGGAATTGAAGCTCTTATTAGAGAAAAAAAAAGAAAGGCCGTTCCGGAGTTATTTGATGATATTTTGTACTCAAAGTGATGTGTCAAATCTATAGCATTTCTTCTCCTAATATTACACGCATCTTCAGATCTGATAATTCTAGGAGAATAGTTAAATTTCACTCGTGTTGAACTTCAATTTTATTGTATAGGTCTGTGGACTTAAATTATGTTTGATTGATCTTTGTCTCAAACTGTTAATTGGCAACTGTTATTTGAAACATGCATTTTATTCTCATATTATACTGTAGGGTGGTATTCGGAGAGAGGTACAGACAATGAGCTTGATTGATCACCCAAATGTTCTACAGGCTCATTGCTCTTTCACAAGTGGCCATAACCTTTGGGTTGTAATGCCGTATATGGCTGGTGGGTCCTGCCTTCATATAATGAAGTCCGCTTATCCAGAGGGTTTTGAAGAGACTGTTATTGCTACTTTACTGCGTGAGGTTCTCAAAGCTCTTGTTTATCTTCATGCCCATGGGCACATTCATAGAGATGTGAAGGTACTCTTCCCGAGATGCTCATCTATTAATTCTCCATGACTGTTTTTTTTTTGTTATGCAGGTTAGGAATATTTCAGTGATCTGTCTCATTATAAAAATAATAGGACATTGGTGCTCTTTTATTTAGTATCTTTAAAGAAAAATGTTAAATTGGTATCCACAATCCTGCGGGGAATTACATGAGTACAAATACAATATCAAAGCCGTGAGAAACTTGTTTGTTTTCTTCTCGTGTTGCATATTACTTTTATCTTATTGTGCTGAATCTCTAGTATTTACGTGAATTACATCTGATAGTGGAGTTTCATATGTGCTTTTCGCCTGTAATAGTATCTAAGTAGTTTGCTGATCATGTTAGGTTCCTCGGGTATGACAATGCCTGTCTTATTAAGTTCATAATCTCTCTCTTTTTGCTTTTTTCTTTTGCCTTTCCTCTGCAGGCTGGTAATATTTTGATCGATTCTAATGGCACTGTCAAGTTAGCTGACTTTGGTGTGTCAGCGTGTATGTTTGATACTGGAGATAGGCAACGTTCCAGAAACACTTTTGTAGGAACCCCTTGCTGGTATTTCTTTTTTGCTTTCTTTCTTACCAATGTATGTCTTCATTTGTGTTTTATGAAATCTGGATCCTGTGGTAATGTTGGTTCTAAAATATGGAGATCTATCTATATGGACACTCTATTTTTATTCCTGTTTTTCTACTCAGGATGGCTCCAGAAGTTATGCAGCAATTGCATGGATATGACTTTAAGTGAGTTGGTTGTATATTGGATTTATGTCAAATTATGTTTTAGTGTTATGATTATTTAAAACGGTTTTAAGGTTTTTCTCCCTTTTTTGGCTCCACACAGAGCAGACATCTGGTCATTTGGTATAACAGCACTTGAGCTCGCTCATGGCCATGCCCCATTTTCCAAGTATCCACCAATGAAAGTAAATTTCTAAACTTTTCTTATATTTATGTTGAAATTTGGGATATTTTGCTGCTGATTGATTTGTGAACTCAAAAGTACTAACCCCCTTGTTTCCTTTGCTCTTGCAGGTTCTGTTGATGACTTTACAAAATGCTCCTCCTGGTCTGGACTATGAAAGGGATAAGAGATTTTCAAAGGTATCTGAAGTTTCAGTTTTGTAATTTGTCCTCCGTTTTTAAATATTGTTCTTAAAGAGCACCATGTTTTTCCAGTCCTTCAAAGAATTGGTAGCTGCTTGCCTAGTCAAGGACCCAAAGAAACGTCCAACCTCAGAAAAGCTTTTGAAGCACCACTTTTTTAAGCATGTGCGTCCCCCTGAGTATTTAGCTCGCACCATTCTAGAGGGTCTCGCTCCATTAGGTGATCGTTTTAGGATGCTGAAGGTCGCTTGCTTATCCTGAATTTTATCTTTCTTCTTTGTTGGCTCCATTATGCGAGATATTTCCCAAGTTAATATACAATTCTTCTGACTACATTTTCTGTCTTAGGCAAAGGAGGCTGATCTTCTTGTGCAGAACAAGGCTCTCTATGGGGATAAAGAGCAGCTGTCGCAGGTAGTAACTGGTTAAAATGGTGTTGGGATTTATGTATTTCTAATTATTTATGTTTGTACATTCATATATTGCTGCAGCAAGAGTACATTCGAGGAATCAGTGCCTGGAATTTTAACCTCGAGGACTTGAAAAATCAGGCTGCTCTGGTAAGTATTGTCTGGTTACCTTATACCATGATTTTTAGGAAAGGACTTAAATAGTAATTTAATCTGCATTGCTTTTGATATTGTTGCATGTCTTATTTTTATATACATATAATAACAGCAGCTTTTTGCCCACAGATTCAGGATGATGAAATGCCAAATGTTGAAGAGCCAAAGAAGCAAATGGATGGATATAAAGATGCAGACATTCCAGCGGAGAGGTTGTCCCTTAAAATGGCCAGCCAGTCTAATCCTGCTCCAAATCAGGAGGTATAGAGACCTCTGCAGAAAATATCTTGGTTTTTCTTTTTTCTCTCTCTTTTTTCTTTATGTTTTATATATTGTCCTGTGTTCTCATATTTAATCTTTGTGTTAAGTCAATATATATGTTGTTTCATTGTTTCAGGATGAATTCAGTGATCTTCATGATTTGGAGAGTTCACTTACTTCATTTCCTATTAAACCTCTTGAAGCACTTAAGTATGATTGGTTTCCTTTTATACCTTGTGTTATCTATCGAAGAAAATTTTCATCTTTATGCTTATATTGCTAGAGATTGAGGCTTTCAATTTTTAAACAGCTTTATATCAGATTATATTTACTGCATATTTTCCCCCAAAATTTATCTCGCTTTGCTGGTGTATTACTATCATCATTTTTTTGCTCTTTGATTGTTTGTTGGATGTTTTGCATCGTCAAAAGAAAAATAAGTACTTCAGTTCTTTTTTCTCTTCTTTTCCTTAGATTTTTTTTCCTTGCAGACATAACTGCTTATTAGTTGTTAGGGTGATCATATGCATTTTATTTTACCTTTTTGTTGTTTCTTCCTTGTGTATTTTTGAATTACTCTAAAGCTTTGTTAGGCATTGATTATATCTCCATGGTACCACAATTCTTAAGCGGTGTTCTTTTTCTGATACAGAGGTTGTTTTGATATTTGTGAGGATGATGTGAGTGCCACTAGTCCAAGAATGGTGTACCAAGAAAATGGAAGAAGTGATGGTGATTGTTCTGGGCAAAGTAGTTCTTTGCCACGTCATGTCATAGCTGAGCATAAAAAATTTTTGAGCGGCACACTACTACCAGATAATGCTCTTTCTCCTAAAAGGGTTGTTGGTGACGGGGACAGGTAACCTTTCTTGTCCTAAAAATTCATTGTGCTTCTTTATCTTAATTGAGCCTGCAGGAAGATTATTTGCCCTCCATTTATTTAATGCATTTTGTAGTTTAGGAAATTTGATGATTATGAAGCTTCGCTAAAGATAGGAACTCTGACAGATGTGTCATCAAACGTTGTGAAGTTTAGTCTTGAATCTGGCTAAATGCAAAGAAGCAAAATATAGCATTCTTAGACCATATTTGTTGTTAACCTTTATATAGGGACTTCTAGTGTTAAACAGGAGTGCATGATCCTCAACTTTCTTCATAGAGTGTCACTAGGAGCTATATTTGTCTCACAATATGTCGTCGGGGTTGGCTTTTTTTATCCATGTTGTTCTGTCGAAGCAATCCTGTAATAGAATTATTGTTTTATTGCCTGGACCTTTGTGCTATTGTGAGTTGGCAATGCACGTTAAAATTTAGCATGGCGTCATGAATCATTTTTTTAGTATAGCCTTCTTCTTTTGTCCTTTTTTTAATATATTATAAATTTCATTTGGCCGCTTACTACCAATTTGTTCAGTAGAAAACTGGTCGAGGGAAACTATAATGATTTTAGTAATTTTGAAAATGTTCTGAAGGGATTATCAACAATCAAAACTTCAGTTTGAGCGGAACTACAGCGGTTCATTGGTGTATCGCCAGATGAGAGATACCAATAATGCTACATCTGGTGTGTCTTCTCTCATATTTCTTTTCCCCTTTTCTATTGGAGAGTCACTTGTTAGAATTTTATAGGAAAATAATATTTGGGTATTCTCACATCTCGTTCTGCAGCTGAAGATACATCTGACGGAACGGTTGTCCAGCGTAAGGGCCGCTTTAAAGTCACATCAGCCGAGCTGAGCCCGAAGGTACAAATGCTTCAATAGTTTCTTATCTATATTATTCTCAATTTAGCCTTTCATTAACACAAGGTCAGACTCAAAATCCATGTCATTGATCGTTAATGTTACAGCTTGACAAAACCTTCTGTTCAACAATGCGTGCATAGCAGATAACTAATGATTATGAGAGAACAATCTATTTATCACGGTTATCATTGCTACTGTAATACTGCTTTCTGTTTTCAACACAATTTTTAAAGCAGTGATTTTTGTACAAGGCTTTCGGTGGTTTTTGGATATTTTTAGTATATACATCTATATATATATATCCATTCTTGCTTTGTATGCATGTAGTTTTTATGCTTAACTCGTGAGTTCTATTCAAAATTTTGCTCTTTTTTTTTCCCTCTTTAATTCTTCTTGTATTGGAAATTGCCTAGCTATAAACTGTGCTTAGTTGATGCTTAACTTAGGAACAATAAGAACGGAACTTAGCAAAATATCTTTTAGGCAATGGCTTTATAACCATTGCCATTCTTGTCTCTGCTTCAGGGTCCTGCAAACTGCTACTTCAACCCAATATGTGGAGGTTCAATCAGTCCAACCACCCTGAAGGTTACAGCTTCAACGGTTCTTCCATCACTGCAATGCATTTTGCAACAGAATGCGATGCAAAGGGTATATCTCTATCTGCACATTTACCTTGTTATGAAGCTAGATATTATGCCTCAGATTCTTTTTTTGTTTTGTTTTTGTTTTTGTTTTTCCAAACAGGAAGAAATAATTAAATTGATAAAGCATGTGGAACAAACATCTGGTAATGCTTCTTGCCTTCTCATTGATTAGAATTTCTCGTTAACGGTTTTTATTGGATTTGACATATTTAGCATGACGCAGGCAAGCAAGTGGAGTTAACGGAGGCAGGCACATGTGACCTTTTGCTGGTAACGTTTGTATTCCCTGGATCCATTTTGAGCATTTAATGATATTTTTGTCCTAGTGTAATCAGTGACATAGCCAGACTTCTATTTCAGTGGGGGCATATACTAAATTTTTGTCTTGAAGTAATAAAAAAATATGAAATTCAGTTGGCGTGTATATGAAAAAAAACTGTACAGGACAAAATCACAAAATCACAAACTTTTAAAGGCTATTTTAAAAAAAAAAAAAAAAAACTTAGTGGGGGGCCGCCCCCCACTCATCTCCAAGTGGCTCCGCTACTGAGTGTAATGCTTTCTAATATTTCACTTCTATTGTTGTAAATGTTTATGTACTAATATTAATAATTTGTTTTTGCGTGAGAGGGTTGAAAAGCCTTTGATATGTTCCAACTTGGTCGGACTATTTTGTTTTTGACAAGCCTCCCTCGCAGGAGCATTGGCAGCCTTGGATACTTCTTGAACATTCTTTGGATATTAAATGCTTTCCATAGTAGCATAGCTAGTTTTGGACAATTCACATATAACTAGCATAGTGCTTGCACCCCCTTTGCACTTTCGTGTCAAACTAATTTATTGAGGATTAAAATGTCTCTAGAGAAATCCTAATTGCTGGAAAAACTTGGATAATTGTTTTTAAAATAAAAAAATAAGAAGAGAAACTCTTGGTTGATTCTTCAATGTTAAATATGCAGACATCTCCTGCTTCCTCCCGCGAGAGAGACCTGCAATGTCAGGTGAATAATTTGCAACAGAGGTACTTGATGCAACCCAATAGTTCCTGGTGACATTATGTTTTACCTTTACTTTGCATTCAACTCACATCCATCTCTCTATGTCAGAATTGGGAGTCTTGTCGAAGAATTGCAGCGACAGAAAATAAAAAATTCCCAGGTTTCTGTCTTTACCCTGGCTATAAATGTAAGGTTGTTCATCTTATTAGCGTTAATTGTTTGCGTCTATGAGTACTTTTAGTGGGTGATAGTGGGTGGGAAGTGTGTTCTGAGTTTGCTTGTTGCTCGGCCTTGGGTCAGCATTCTGGCTTTGCTTGGCCTTTATTATGATTTTTCTCAACAGATTGCAGATGAGCTATTTGGAAAAATTACATGTTTTCCCTACTGAAATTGAAAAATAAACTCTCTGGGACAAATTGTCACTGTCGTCTCTTTCGTTTTCAGTTAGAGAGGCAATTGAGTGTGGTGGCCCACAAAGACGACGAGTAAGGGACGAGTTTGTTTCGCAATAGCACTGTTGTCTCTACAACGAAACTCGAAAATCCATGTGACCGGGCCAATGAAGCGAGGATGGCATATGAATCAAAGTCCAAGCGATAGAATTTTTCAAATGACAAAAGCTTGGTCTGAGTGGCAAAGCTGCTTGAGAGGTATACGAGCATTCTTTGTACTGTATTTTTCTAGTGTACCATATGTGTGAAGAAAAAATGTGTGTTTATGCAGACAGCCAAAATTTTGAAATCCAATTCCCCGCGTCTCTCACATTTCTGTAAGATGTAATTTTTTAAAACTAGATATTGTAATTATAATCTCTTAGAACACATACAAAAAGTGCATGCTTGTGTTGTCTCACTCCATTTCACAGAGAAATGTGGATTGGTAAAGCCTTCCATCGAGAGTAGGAGCTGGGTTGAAGTGAAAAACCTTTGAAATCACACTTTTTTCAAATATTTGCTCAACTAATGCAACTAATCCGATAATGACTTGGATGCATAAAGGTCCAGATGGAGAGAAAAGAGGACCAATTTCTATATAACACAATTATTTCTATGTTCCCGCAATCACTTCGACTTATGGTACTATTACTATTAGTAAACCATAGTTGAATCAGTTGAACTTCATGTCAGACTTTTGACGGTTGCCCGTTAAAGATTTCAAAGAGGGAACCAAATTTCTTGTTTAAAGTAAGCAACGAACCTTTGAAGGTGCTCGGAGAGGTTGAGGTAACGACTCTTGGGTCCCGTTAATTTTATCAATTTAAATTTTATTACGGTAAGAAATTTTTAAAAATAATTATATTTAATTTTTTTATTACAGTAAAAATTTTTCACATAAAATTACATCTCAATTCGAATTAAAAATTTAAATTAATGAACTAAAGAGATTTGGAGTATGAAAATATCAAATTTAATGCTTATTTATGGAAACCAATACGTGATGAAAATATCAAGTTTAATGCTTATTTATTGAAAACCAACACGTGTAAAGTACCCACATGGAAGAAGCAACACGTGTCAAGATGTTGTGGACCCAAAAGGTGCTAATTTTAACGTTCTATAGGTGAAAAAAACTTTTACGTGGGGATGTGAGGTTCAAATAATTTTTACGTGGAGATGTGAGGTTCAAATAATGCAACTAATTCCATGTTGTCCAAGGAGAAAATTCAAGCGAAAAAACAAACTCTCCATTTGCTTTAATTTAATGTCAGCACGTCTCAAAACTATATAGTTAAGTTAACAAGTCATATAAGACATTTATTATTGAAAAAGAAAACATAAGGAAAAAATTCATTTGAGACATCTTAAAAAGTCTAACTATTTGATTGTCAAACCACAAGTCATTTGCGACTGCGTTCAATTAGCCAACAAATAAATTAAAAAAAAAGGTCATCTGAGACTGCAGGGGAAAAAAAATAAAGTCATATGAGACTGCAATAACATTTGAATATAATATATAGTATATACTCTAATAACCGAAAACACGAGGAAGTTTTCAAACAATTAAATTAACCGAAAACACGAGGAAGTTTATAAATTTCCAAGTCCACGACAGCCATCAATACTAATGTATATGTGTGTGTGTGTGTGTGTTTTTTTTTTTTCTTTTTTTTTTTTTTGAGTGAAGAACAAACAGATAAATTGGATAACGACCGTGGAGGCGCCACGCCACTACAGTGAAAAGAGATTATTGGGCCGTCAGGATGTTGACTCACAGACCCGTCAGCTTTAACATAATTTTTAACAACTAACCTAACCCCGGATTGTCTCAAGTAGTTCTCTCCCGTGCTCACTAGTCATTCACCACGTGAGCCCTCCCTTTCTTATCTACTCCCGATTCAGCCGTCGTCTATGCACAAGCCGCTTCAACAAGACTCTCCCAGTCTCAACATGTATATCAAATATCTTTTCTTTTTTCCTTTTAAAAAATTACAAAATAATATTTATTACTTATACTTTTTGGCAAAAAGATTTGAGATAACTTTTCTATAATAATATTATTTCTAAAGTTTGAATTTTATAATCTCAATATGACTCGTGCTTTTTTCTTACTTGACTCTCTGTAATTCTCTTAGCTGCCCCGTTTTATAATCTCAATAATCACCTTACAATTTCAAACTCAAAATCCCTTGAGAACAAAAAATTCAAGGAAAATAAATTATTTCAAGTTCATCTCAAATTATGAAATTTTCTCACATTGCTCTCGCTTTCACAATATTAATTCTGTGTTAAGGAAGAACATACTATAACAAATCATTTTAATAAATCAAAACTTATACACCATCAAGTCATGAAATTTTCCTGTATTGTTCTCGTTTTCACAATATTCAATTGCGTATTAAGGAAAAATATACAATAAAAAATCATTTTAAAAAATAAACACTTATAAACAATTAATTTTCATTTGAATAATTTAACTTGTACAGTACTTTTAGGACACACAATATAGTTGTGTTATTTTTATCTATTTGATTGCAAATAATATGAATTTATATATTTTTCAGATTTTTTTCTTTTCCTTAGAGGGTCTGAGTGGAAGTCTTAACATTGAAATAAAAAAATAATCGCACATTATAATATCTCAAATATTATAGCTATCTTCAAAAGTGATCACTACTGATTTTTAATTAGTTAGATGTTGAAATACAATATTGTCCGTGACCTGTATCATAATTTGTGATTTTTATAATTGAAATGTCGTAGCTGGTTGGAAAAAAATACGGAGATAATTGCTAAATAAAATTCTAAATTCCATTCTTCTCTGTTTTTTTTTTTTATTTTATTTTATTTATTTTAAGGACCACTCTTTTCTTCTTATTCTTCTTATTTTTTTTTTTTATAAAAAAATTAATATATTATATATGTAAGCCAAAATTTAGCTATTCAGCTTAAAGCTTAAGCCAAGTCAAGAGTCAAAACCAAGGGCTGAAAGTGGGGGGACGGGGACAATGCGTCTAATATGACGGCCCAAATTTATACGACCGGCTACCCTCTATTCTGCGGCGCCAAATACAATATAAAAATACACAAACACACACACACACACACACACATATATATATATATATATATATATCCTATCTCCTTATTTAGTCTCATCCTTCACAAAAATCTCACACCATTTAACAGACTCAAGAGCTGAGCTAGACACCGCGCGAAAGAGCAAAGTAACAAAAGCGTGAACAGAACACTCTCTTTCTCTCTGTTTCTGCAATCGCCAAGCCAGAAGAATGGGAATTGTGAACTGCGAAGAGCGGGAGAGGATGGAAATCGAGGAGTTCCGGCGCATGGTGGTGGCCTCCGGCGCCGCCACACACCGCCGGAAGGACCACCAAGGCTTCGACGGTTCTCGATTAATTCCGTCCTCCGTCGACGACGACGATCTCTGCGATCGCGACCGCCCCGTCTGCGTCACCAGCGGACTCTCCTTCCTCGGCATCGCCCTCGTCAACAACCTTCTCGCCCGCGGCTACTCCGTCCGAATCGTCGTTGAGAATCCAGGTAACTTGATCGCCGATTTTCGAAACGAAACGTTTCTTTTTCCTTAGTAGAATCCTTTGAATCAAAGTTCGAAACGACTAAGAAGCAAATAGAATTTGATGATTTATTTGATTTTTACTTTTTTAACAAAAAGAACTGCAAATTTTCTTTTATTCTTCTTCTCCTTTTTTTTATCTGATTTTTTTTTTTTTTGTTTGGTAAGAATCACTTTTTGCTAAATGGAGTTGTTAATTTTTAACATTTTCTCGAACATGTCGTGACGTAATTTTACTTTATTTTTTAACGTACTACTTAAGCGATCATCCCAAAGTTTTATAATGTATTGTGTCATAAATATATCTACGGCTAGACATTGCAGTTGGCATGTATATTTGGTTTCAATTATTTATGAACCATATTTTATCCAATCATTTTTTTTTTGTTTTTTATGTGGCCTAAAACTTATGTGTAACAAAATGATCGGACAATACTGTGAAGCGTAGAAATTTTCTTTTATGTCTCTGTTCATATTTATGACGCGAAAAAAATGTGTGCACAGAGGATTTGGAAATAATACAAGAAATGGAGACAACAAACAGCAATATTTCAGCGACAATGGCGAGGTTAACAGACGTAGAAAGTTTACCAGAAGCATTCAAGGACTGTCGTGGTGTTTTTCACACCTCTTCGTTTATTGACCCCACCGGTGTCTCTGGCTACACGGTAATTACTGCTCCTTCTATTGTCAAATGTTCCATCAATTTTTTTTTTTTTTTTTTTTTTTAGAAGAGATAAATAATATTAAATTGTCATATACGAAAGAGTATTAATGCTTATCATTTTAAAAAAGTGTTGAATACATTTCAAGGGAGCTATCAATTAATAAACACATATTTTCGGTGGCTAATTTCCGTTCGTGTGATCCATAACTTCCGGGTAGTCACACCTTATTTATTGATCTCGAAATGGTTGGTGAGGCTCCTTCCCTATAGGTTGTTAGCAGGCCCATCCTGCGTCTAAGCATTTTTCTGTTGTTTGTCTTGTGCGATTATTTATTGAGATAATGACATAAGGTTTAAGTATTAATTTCCTCGTTTCGAATTGTCTGTTTATTACTCATAGTAATTTGAATTTTGAAATCGTGTGGGCTCAGTATTTATTCAATAAAATAATACCATTAGTCTATACGAGAAGGGTAGCCGGGGCATCCGATTGCATATTAAGAGCCAGATCACGTGAGGAGTAGAGCTACCCGCCTACCCCCCACGTGTTAGTTTGCCTTGCTGGCTGTAGCAATTTCCATGTGAAAAAGGTTCATTAGGTAGATGGTGATTTTTTTTTTTTTTTTTTTTTTTAAATTTTCTTTAACGGGTCAATGGTTCTGCCAATAATGTCACTTAGTCGTCGGTTGAAATATTCTGCTTTGGCTCTAAACTATTCGATCCAATGAAAAAATAAAAAACCACTTAAAAGTCGCTTTCAGTTTTTAAATGATTTTACATTAAATCGAAAACTGTTTTTGTTTTTTTTATCTTTTTTTCTCCAAATGTGTTTTCTTTTTTAATCTCATTTTTTATCTCAAAAAACGTGAAAAACGTAAACAAAATGTGTGTCTTGAGCATATATATATATAATGCGTTTATTTTGTCTTACATATTTATGCATTTTTTTTCCGCAGAACATTGTCTATGCATTATTAGTTGGTCAAAACAATAACTTATCAAGCATTGAATAAAGTTACAAGCAGAGTTTAAGATGTCAATTTCAGCATACTAAAATTTAACCCGAGTAAATTTTGATATGGACAAAAATATAAATACTATTCGATCAATTTGTTTCGCGATTGTTTTGTATATCTATTTCAAGCTTCACTACTCTTAACTTTTCCGTTTCAATTTTCTATTTAATCATGCGAGCAGAAATACATGGTTGATGTAGAAGCAAGGGCCAGTGAGAATGTGATCAAGGCATGTGCAAGAACACCGTCAGTTAAAAAATGTGTTTTCACCTCGTCACTTTTGGCCTGCCTATGGCAAGATAGAGCTCAGAATGAAAGTAATTCTTCCGTAATAAACCATGATTGTTGGAGCGATGAATCCGTATGCATAGACAAGAAGGTGACTTTTCCCCCCCTTCATTGTGTTCTTTTAATTTCACTGCACGATTTATGCAACCAGAAAATGATTACTACTAGCTAGTCAATAATATCTAGTTGGTCCCTAGTATAATATTTTCTTTGTTTTGGGAAACCATTTCACTTCAATGGTCGGTGCCTTATATTTTTTACTTTGGTCAATCAGCTATGGTATGCATTGGGCAAGATAAGGGCTGAGAAGTCTGCTTGGAAGGTAGCTGAAGAAAGTGGTTTAAATATGGCCACATTATGCCCCGGTCTAATTACAGGTCCGGAGTTTTGCTCAAGAAATTCAACAGCAACATTTGCTTATCTTAAAGGTAAACCCCGTGTAGCTCTTAAGTGATTAGGTACATGAGTGTGTACGTGTGTCCACTAAAATTCGGGTCCTAATAGTTTCACTTCTTGTTAGTGAACACTATGTTCAGTCAACTTTAGACCACTCACGTTGGTTCTCAAGCTATCTAAAAATAAAAAGCACATGTTTTGACTTGACCTTATTTAGCAAGCCCTTTTAATTTTCAAAATTGCCCACAAAAAGAGTTGAACGAATGATAATCTCTGACTTGTACCACAGGAGCCGAAGAGATGTACGAAAGCGGGGTGCTAGCAACAATGGACGTGGACAGATTGGCGGAGGCACACGTTTGTGTATTTGAGGCTTTGAACAAGACAACAGGTGGAAGGTACGTCTGCTTTGATAGGGTCATTCAAGAGGAGGAAGATGCAGAGAAGTTGGCAAGTGAAATGAGCATGCCCAAAACCAGGATTTGTGGAACAGGCTCTTCTTCTTTTTCCACTGACAATGTCTTCCAATTGTCCGATAAGAAGCTTTCGAGCCTCATGTCAACCGCTCTACGGCCCTGTTACAACCAGAGCTGCCAGAATTATACTTACTAGGCCAATCGGACTGTGTATTATAGTGGTTGATTATCGCATATTGTTTTTGTTAAAAATTTGATTTATTTGTATTGAGCATAGCTTTGTATCGGTGATTTGTCTGTGGAAACCAAGCATAAGGAACCCATAAGATAAAAATCAAGAGAATCAATGTTCTACACTTTAATGAAAAGGCATATGAGGAATTATTCGTTAAAACGTGAGAAGTAGAGACCATGTCTATTTAATACAACCAAATTCAGAAAAAATTTGAATTTGAATTATAATTTTATTTAAATTCATATTTTTTTGTATAATTTGAGTTTGAACTCGAATTTAGGACTAAACTCGAATTCATAAACTCGAACTCAAGTTAATAAATAATATTTTTTCTATTCTTAAAAATGTCATAACTTTATCGTTTTAATTATAATTGAGATGATTTTTTTTCTATGCATACGAATAAAACTCCATCAATATATCTTATTAAAATTTTTCATCACTATTGAATTTTTATTAAAACACTATTTAAATACAAATTTAAATTTTAAGCCACTCAAATACAAACTCAAAAAGATTCTCAATTCAAATCATCTCAAATATGCACAATCAAACACAAATTCAAGTTACAACTTCAACTCAAGTTATAACTCAAACTCAACTTAAAATTATCACTCAAATCACCATAATTCAAAAATACAAAAGAACAATCCCTTAATACGTCAAATGTATAGATAAAATTGAAGTTGACAAAACAAAATGATAACTAGAAACATATATACCAGGTATTATTTCCTAAGCTTGGTCGTTAGAAGCCTAATTTATTTAATCTATTAATTAATACTTAGTGCTCATCACTTACCAATTTCCATTAAAAAAAAAATAACATCGTTGTCATTGGGGTGTTTTAGTCACGAATTTTTAAATTTAAAAGGTTAATTGTCAAATAGCACGTTGCCAAGTGGAAATCAAGTTTAGAAAGTAAAACAACATTTAGAGACATTAGTTCCTAAGCTTAGTCGCTCATTCTAGAAGGTTAATCTTTTCTTCTTCTTTTTTTATTTATTATTTTTAAATTAGACTAGAATGTTAAATCTTGTTGTCATTGGTAAAGCTTAAACTTTTGCCATCTTGAATCCGAAACTTTCAATTTAAGCAAATAAAACCCTACACTTTCAATTTCCTTTAAAATGAATTAACACTCTTGTTATCGGGGTGTCTCTGTCTAAAACTTCTAAAATTATAAGGTTAATCAAAAAAAGAAAAAGAAAAAGGGATCACATTGCTTAGATTTAAAACTTGAGCGTTTAGTTTATAGATTAAAATTATATAATTAAAACTATTTTTAATTTATGATTATTTTTTATGAGAGAAAATACTGTAATAAATCATAAATCATATTCAAATTATGATTTAAATTCTCTAACTAAACATCCCCTTAAACTTAAAAAATTATAATTGTATTAATGCATCATAAATTTATAATCATTTGCATATTTCACCTAAACTTTTAATTTTAAAAATTTTACACCCAGAATCTTACAACTCTTAGCAATGCAATCTAATCAAATAATCGTCAACTAAAGAACGACAATCAGGGTTCGACACGCCAAAATTTTAAAAGTTCAACTACAACTTGCCATCCAACAAAAGTTTAGGGGGCATTTGATTAAAAATATTGGATAATTTACGTTTGATTGGAGAATTCAAATCATGTGATTCGAATTAATTTTGATTTACATAAATTTTTTATGAGAAAAAATACTGTAAAAAATCACTTCAAATAAAAAAAAACATCCTTCTACCAAACATCCTCTTAATCTAGGAATAACCGGATGGCAATTTTCTACAAGCGAGTAAAAGAATACACATTTATTCTATGAGATAAAAGTCAAATTTCAAAAATTAGAGCAAGCGATTTAGAACCTCGGAAATAAAAATAAAAATAATGAAAATAATAACAAATGAAAATGGAATTGGAAAAGATTAAAAAGAAGAAAAAGGAGAACTTAAGGGGCTCAGAGTTGCTATCTGTGCTCAAAGAAGAGTTTTTTTTGAACTCCTCTCATACAAGAGGTGTCAGAATATAAAGCACTCGTCATCTTTGCCCTACTAATCGCCACAAAGCTCACTCAAAAAAAAAAAAAAAACAAAAGAAAAAAAAAACTATGAATACAAAGAAGAAGATGAGCAAGGAAAAGATTTAGAAGCAGCCATGGCGGCTATTCTATTGTTAGGGTTCCGACTCTGTGACAATGAGGTTGATCTCAGTCAAATTCGAGAATTTAAAGACAGCTATTGAGCCCTTCTGGGCCGTGTAAGACGAGTTCAGGGTTAGGATGTGAGCCCAATAATCCAACTCAACCAACCTAGGCCATTTAGAAGAAGGCCGAAACTATCATTAAGTGTCTTATGAGGCCGAACAAGAAGTCCATACAAAACGCCAATACTATAGAGATACTATCAATTGTCTGTTTGTCTTCTTTTCTTTTCTTTTCCTTTTTTTTCTTTTTTTTTTTTGGAGAAAGAAGTAAGTTGTGTTTTATGGTAAATAATTGAAGTGATTGCAGATTTTAAAAATATGTACCATGAAAAATGAATCCCTCCACTTCAAGAAAACAAAAGAATGTCAAGTGGTTATGATGGTTGCAACTTGCAATAACTAATATACTCGTACTAGGAATTGTCATTGTTGGTAATGATTTAAATTTCTAAAGATATCGAAAGTGAAGTGATTAGTCGTTTAAAATGGGAAGTACTAAGGCCCGATTCGAGTTTTACTACAGTAAAAAGCTCTTAAAAACAGTAACATTTATTTTTATTTTTATTTTTTTTGCTACAATAAAAAACTTTCACATAAAGTCACATATTAACTCGAATCAGTAAACTAAACGGGTTCTTCATATAGTATGGAGTCAAGTATATAGAACGTGTTCTATTATACATCAACTTTCTTATTATGCAATCTCTGTAATATATGTTTGTACCCCTACACGTGGGTGATTGAATTAATTTTATCCAGGAGTTACAGACAGATAGTATGAAGGAGTTACATGCAATACAAGCATTAGTAACTGATAGAGGAGCATACTTGAACTTCAAGGCGATACGTGACTTGAGGGTCGAAAAGTGTCTGAGTCTGTTCGTTGGGTACGCCTATAAATTTATAAAAGACCTCTCAAAATAAGAGCTCAAACGAGTTGCGTTTGAGGTGGATTCCCCAATCTGATAATGAGTTATGTTTAAATGATTTGATTTTGTCTCTCTTATCAGTTGTAATTTTAAGAGAAATGCTTGTGTCGATCCTAAATTAGCAATTGAATGACTAGACAATGATTTTTAAAAAAAAAAAAAAAAAAAAAAAAAAAACTCTTTGAAATTGGTCAAACTATTGTAGTCATTTACGCAATATGCCAAAATCATAGAACTTTCCTTGTCTTTAAACAATTCACATTGGATTGATTATAAAGTGGTCTCCAATGCAGCTCTGATTTTACAATTCTTCTCAAAACCAATCAAAGCTTTCTCTCCTCTTTTTATTGCATAATCCTAGGCCGGTGACCTGTCAGCTTTTCATTAGTTTAACGAGATCACCCAGATACGGTTGTTTACAGTTACCACAATATACCATTATGAAATGGAGAGTGAGATTAATTATATAAAGCTACTCACCTATATATTTACAACAAAATGAATATTATATATAGATCATCATTTTATATATGAGCTTCTGACTGAGAGTTTGTGCCAGGCTTTGTGGAGAGCCACGACTGACATAATAGTTTTAATGAATTTGAATGTGGCCATGCACGTGCTCGCCAGCGTCCCCACGTGCGTGCATGACTCATGCAAGTTAGGGACATTAAAAAAAAAAAAAAATAACAGGACAATATTTCTTAAAAATAAAAGGATGAGATTAATTTTTACGGTAATTATATTCTACCGATAGGGTATATATATATATATATATATATATACATATTTACAGGAGGTGGGGAAGTGGAAAAAGAGCTTGGTAGATGAGGAAACAGTTCCCTATATTCGCTGTCATCGGTACTCATCAAAACCAGAGATCACTCTTCTCTAATGATCGCTCTCCGGAGATTCTTTCCCTGATATATATCTTATTATATTTGTAGCTTCTGCCTCAGATTTCTACACCCCATAAACAAAAAACGATATATTCTCTTAATTTATCGAGAATTAATTAATAGGATTACAACTTACTAAAACAATATTATTAGAATAATAAAAAGCAGTCAGAGAACTATTATATATATATATATATATATATTATATGTATACAGACACACACATATATATAGAAAGAGAGAGAGAGAGTAGTGGAGTAAATCCGCTGCAGAAAATGAGAGATAAACAAGAGATTGCATCATCAATATCACTTATAAGCTCAAAGTTTCAGATCAGATCGTAATAGTACTACTACTAGACTAGTGGCCGTTCCTTATTTATTAAACACAGAGAGATCTTATTTCTCCGTCTTTGAAATTCTTTCACAACATAGCTATCTCGCTGGAGTATTATAGCGCATTTTTAGCTTTCAAGAGGGAAGAATATCGAAACCTACATTTTGCTTAAACCAGGTGAGCTCTTTTTCTTCATACATTTGATTCACATGAGTTTTCTGATTATATTATGTATAATGGTTTTCGTGGGCTTTCTTGTCTTCTTTTTTCAACATGCAACCGTTACAAATATTGCTTGTGTATTTGGTTTAGTACGTCATAAGCACTGGATCTCACGAAACGTTGGCTATAAGCCTATATCTCATTGAGCTCGTTTAGTTCTCGTTGAGCTCGTTTAGTTCGCTGATTCAAGTTTTTAATTTGAATTGAGATGTGACTTTATATGAGAGTTTTTTACTGTAATAAAAAAGTTAGATGTGACTGTTTCTAAGAACTTTTTACTGTAACAAAACTCAAATTCTAAACTCAAATCGATGAAATGAACTGACTAATATATATTTGAGTTAAGTCCAACCAATGCGCCAACTTTTATTTATTTATTTATTTATTATTATTTTTTAAAGCCTATATTTGAGGCTTCACTTTATCAGAAAACCACGTTCAATTTTTCCGATCGGTACTTTCCTTGCCAGTCGTCATTAATGTGTTGACAAGGTAAATGGCCTTAATATATATATATATATATAGCAATGCATATATAGATATATATGTATATATACAGTGATATAGCTAGCTTTTCCTGCTCCTTTTTCTTTCAGCTGCAGTACTCCTTTTTCTGGTTTTATGTATGACAATATCATCTTGATTTGTTATATATGGTTTTAATTAATCAATACCCTTTAGAGATTACAGACTAAGGTTTCGTTCACTTCGCGGATTTGAGTTTTCAATTTGAGCTAAAATGTGACATTTTCAAAGAACTTTTCACTATAACAGAAAAAGTTAGATGTGACATTTTTTGAGAGCTTTTTACTGTAGAAACCTAAAACTAAAAATTCGAATCGGTGAAATGAACGAGGCCTAAGTAATTTCACTACTACTCTTAGACAAATATGGCACTATACATAAATAGTACCGAAGGTACATGTGAAACATTCCGAGGATGTTTGATAGAGGGATTCGTTCCCTGATTCGAATCATGATTCGTGATTCGTTATAGTATTTTCTCTCATAAAAAATACACGTAAATCGAAAATGATTCAAATCACATGATTGGAATCCTCCAACCAAACGTCCTCTCAGTTACGCATTCACATTTTAACTTATGTGTATAAATTATTGCTAGCTAGCTAGTTGTTCAACATATACATATCAACCTGTAGCTGTTGTTCTATAGGTTTTTTTTTTTTTTTTTTTTTTTTTTTTTTTTTTTTTTTTTAAATTTTTCCTCTTGTTGGGTGCCTTATAGACTTTGACCTATAACTTTTTTTAACATTATACCTCATGGCCATGTGGTTGGGTGCCTTATAGACTTTGACCTATAACAACAACCCATGTGAACCCAAATTTTTCAACTTTACCCCTTGTCATGATTTGGGAGATTTTTTTTTTTTTTTTTTTTGAACAAATGATTTTGGAGTTTGTATAAACTTTAGTGAGCTGCTAGCTAGCATATCCAACCTCACCACACCACACATTTTTATAGGGTAAATCTGGTTAGAGTTTTTAACCTATAAGTTTCATCCACGGAATTCATGTAGTTATATATATATATATATATATATATATATTTCTACAATATTCTGGACCTCACGAGTTTGATTTTGACAGTGTACTCAGGAAACACCCTAATGACACTCCCCCATGACCTTTCAACAATTAGGAAATTGATTGGACTCTTTCCTTTTCCTTTCTCATGCTTTATATCTATCCCTTCACACGTAACTTTCGATCGCTCACCGACGAAACTTTCAGGTTTTCCTACTTGTCTTTTTTTTGACAGAAAACAACACGTACAAAGAAACATGTACAGAAGAATTCAATCAAATGCTTATGAGGGAAGAAACCAACAAGTTTAACAAGAAAGCATTGAATTTACGATTCATTTAGTAGTTTTTAAGTATGTTCCATAAACTAAGAGATAAGAGATCCAGATCTAGAGTGCAAAACGTGTATATATAAACATCACACACACACACACACACACACACTAGGGTGATATCAGATGAACCTAATAATTTTGCCTATGAAAAGGGTGATCAAACTTTTCTTCTAGGACAACTCATCTCAATAGGGCACAAATTGGTTTCTAGGGAAGCTGAATCAGGCAAATTTTGCGAACATTAAGTGAGCATTGTTTTTACAAAAATACGTGGAGTGGAAGTTTTTTTCACCAACTTAGTATCTTTCTAGTGTGTCATGTCTAAGTCAAGCACCCATTTTGAAGCTCAACTTTTTTTTATTCAAGGAAAACTACACCACCCACATCTGTAACCATGTTCCCTAGTCCTTAACTTTAGCAGCAGCAATGTAGTTTTACCAATATGCCCTCACACCAACTCTTAGGCTCTGACTCGAGTTTTGTTACAGTAAAAAGCTCTCAGAAACAGTCACATTTAATTTTTTTACTGCAGTAAAAAATTATCACATAAAGTCACATCTTAACTCGAATCAACGAACTAAATAGGCCATTAATTATATCCCATGCTATGAAAATCCTAATTTGGCCACAAGATTAAGAGTTAATGTATAATCTGCGTGCTTTGATTATATTTTGCCGGAGTGGGGCAAATCTGTCATTTCCTGGGGTAGAAAACGCCATTGCTAGTGGCAACTCTTAGTCCAGTGCATCTTTCTAGTTCAGTGTCTAGACAAGAACATGGACCACTTGGTGAACCGGATCATATGCTCTGCTGGATGGGACAAACAAAGTTGTTCCGCCGTATGCATAGTATAGTATATATCTACGTGTGGTATGGACATTTTTTTTATTCTGTTTTATTATAACGTGGACTAATATATATGGAACATTTTTACTAGTATTGCAAATCTTTAACGTCATTTTATATCATACACTTAACTAGATTTAAATTTTAAACGATCCTGTAGAAAATCTACCCTTAGAAATGTCACTATCGGCATAATACATTTTTTACTCTATTGAAAAATTCTTATGGAACAAATACTCTTTCATGAAAGTGACATATTTGGCTGTATAATGTTAAGCTTCGTTTGGTTTGCAGTTTGAACCACAATTTATTTATTTTTGCTATAATATTTTTTGTTTTCTTTTATATTTAGGAGCCAAATAGGTCCTAAATACGAGCTAATGTTAGGGTTACTCCCATAAAAGATCTTTAAGATTTACACTCAATCTCATTTTAGTCTTTAACTTTAAAAATGTCTCACAGTTAATTCATGCAATTTTACTAGTTAGTTTGTTAACTAGTCAGTCACTTTAAATTTCTGTTAACTAGGTGTTAAATGATTGACGAAATATGTGTAAATTGAGGACTAAAATTAGAAAAAGTTAAATTTAGAGACTATCTTTTGAGATAAACTTTTTTTTTTTTTATATATTATTTTAACCCTAAACTTTAGAGGTTTTCAATTTTGAGCCTTCAATTCCATAAATTTTGTTAAATATTTAATACTTAACTAATAGAATGATAGAAATTAAAACACAGTAAAATGTTAGAGATTAATTGTAAGACGTTGTAAAAATTATAGCCCAAAGTAGAATTAAGCATAAACTTTAGAGACCATTTGTCGTGTTGATCTCTAATGTTATGATATGTTGGTTTTAACCCCTTTTTTTGTTTTTGAATAATTTAACCGTTTCTTTTTTTTTTTTTTTTGGGCTCCGAATTTATTACTAGTGCTTAATAACGTTCTCTCTTAAAATAAGTAGAGAATACAACACACTAGGCCGGTCAATGGTCAACGACTCTGTCCCATGTGCACAAAGTTTTAGGCGTCCCACTTCAATTTGAGTTTTTCAGCTACGCGCGTACCAAACACCAATCTTCCATTAAACTAAAAAAATTATTCCATACTTGTTGGGCTCTGTTCACCAGTTTTTAACCCGTGAATCTCCTCTCTCCCTCTCTGTGCCAAAATAATTTACGGGGACTATTTTGCCCTTACAGATTTTTATTTTTTATTTTTTGTTACTCTGATAAAAGTGCACCAAGCTTTAAAATCATAATTCTTACGTATAAACATCAAAAAAGGCCTGAGGAGATTAAAAGAGACTCCCAAACCTGACATGTTAAGAGAGTACTTCAAACTCAAAAATAGAGAAGAAAATAATGAGTGAATTACATGCCTACTACTACCGCTACTAAACAAATATTCACACCACTTTTCCTTCTCTTTCCTCTCAATGCTCTGCAGGCATTCACTGGCTATGGGGGATCACCGAGCTCCACGTCATCGAAATGGGGCCCACCACAACCAGAACGACGACGGCGGCGCCGGAGACGGGTACGAGTGCTCCTGCAGGTCGTGCGCGGCGGCGATGATCGCGGACTGCGTGGCGCTCTGCTGCTGCCCCTGCGCCGTCGTCAACTTCCTGGCGTTCGCCTTCGTCAAGGTGCCGTGGGCGGTGGGAAGGAAGTGTTTGGGGGCCGGGAAAAGGAAGCGCAAGAAGAAAACGACGACGGAGAGAGGGGGATACGACACCGACGGTGATGTCGTTGGGGAGGAGGAATCAAGAGAGAGGTGGTGGAGGGAGGAGGGTGTTTTGGAGATTTCACGCTCGGAAGAAGGAATGGAGTGTGTGAGTGCGAGATTTGAAGCCGAGAGGGTTTGGTTGGAGTTGTACCAGATTGGTCATTTGGGGTTTGGGAGGCTTTCCTTCACCGGAATTCAGCCTCAGCTCAAGGGCAATTAGGGAAGTGGAGGTCAAAAATTGTAAAGAGTTTTTTTTTTTTTTTTTCCTTTTTTTTTTGTGGGGGAATATTTGAATCTGCTTTTTTTTTTTTTTTTTTACCCTTTTAACTAGTGATGGGAAAAAAGTACCTACCTGCAATTCAAAGTTCAACTTGGGTTTTACTGATCAAAGAACCACTCGGGTTTCTACTCATCAAAGAATTTTTAAGACTCAGTTTATTAATTTACATTTTTAATTTAAGTTGAGATATAATTTTATGTGAAAATTTTTTATTTTAATAAAAAAATTAAATGTGATTGTTTTTAAATTTTTTTTTATTATAATAAAATTTAAATCGGTAAAATAAATGTTTTAGATTTTATTTTATTTATTTATTTTTGCTGTTCTTGTGAAGAAATCGTTTGATTGACCAACTATCACCAAGTACAAACACATTCTGTCTCTCTATTTGGTGTGAATATGTCAACTTTTATTTTCATTATCCTTGTCTGGTTTTAGTTTTCGTCCATGCGTGACGAGGATGTGGACTAAGATTAGTTTAGTCATAAAATGCTCTTTGTCGCGTGTGTACTAATAATAAGTAATGGTAGAAGCATCTATCTGGTTACATTGAAGACTCAAAAGTATAATTTGATTTAGAGAGTGCAATTAGTGCTCTAATATCATGATAATTTATCATTTATATAAAAAACTTAGGTTGTTAAGAGATAGACCGACATTTTCTATTAAAAAGAAAAAAAAAAGAAATAGATCAACATTAGTTATTTTATCCTTAAGTGGGGTGGTCTAGGGATAATGGTGTGATGGATTTGTGGTGTCTAGGGATAATGGTGTGATGGATTTGTGGTTAAAAGTTTGAGTATTGAACGGCTTTTTATGAAAATCTTAAATGTGAAGATTTGGTTGTATCATCTTAGTACTCTAATAGAGTTTCTGGAACCACACCCATGCATCATTTTTGCTAACACATTTAATTTGATTGGGTGATGCGCTCATCGTTGAAAAGTAAAATCTAACCATAGGGTCTTCAACGAATATTTCTATTAATATTTGGAGAACTCTTTTAATAATGACTACAGAGGGTATACTAACGTCAGACTCCTAAACATTAGTTTTATATGAATTGTCTTAAATTCGGTACTCAAGTCAATCAGGCAAACTTTTTCCGTATGCCCGTTTAACATTGTTTGTAGTGCATGTAACACTCGATTTTGTTTTAATGTAACATTCATTAAATATAACCCAACACGTATAATATTAAATGTTACACGTACATATGAAAAAAGTTATACGTACAAATAAACAATATTACATAGACATACAAAAAAAGTTACACGTATCTAATTAGTCCCGTTGTGAACTTAAGACAATTCTTACATTTATACTCCAATATTTACCATTTATCTTAAAAATATAAGCTAATAAAAATTAAGCCAATATTAGTTTTATATTCTAATAATCTAATGGCATAATTATTACTTATTTAAACTTAATTTATTGGCATGCCATATTTTAATGGACAAAAAGACTAAATATGCTGGCTTTTTAAAGTTTAAACGGTGTGTATACTACTTTTTAAAATTCAAAAGATAAAATGTAAATGAACAAAAAAAGTTACACGTATCTAATTATCTTTTTGTGTTTATATGTGGCTTAGTTTGAAAATTATGCACTTGATTTGAAACATTTAAAAAACATCAAACTTTTTCTTTAGGAAATGATATTATCTACAGCATTTCTCCAACTGATATTGTTTCGAATGAAAATATAGTTCTTAAATTATTTTTGAGAAACTATTTACGTATAGTTTTACCTTTTACGTTTTTTTTTGGTCCAATAAGCGTTATAGATATAATGTTTTTTTTAAATTAAAAGATATTTTATAGTTTCTAAAAAATAATAAGAAAATTTTGAAAAAAAAATTAAAACTGTGGTATGAGGTATATTTACATAATTTTCCTTGTTTAAACCTTAAAAAAATATTATGATTAATTTCATAAATCTCATCTAAATTTTGTATTATGTTCTAAAATGCGCTTTAAATTTTTAAAAAAGTTTATTTCATCCCAATTCAAAACTGATAAAATAATAACACTTACACGACACTAATTATAATTTTATAAAATGATGACATGACACTTGACGTCTTTTTTTATATCATTGTGAGACACGTTAGACCAAACTTTAAAAAAAATAAATTAGACCCCCCTTAAAAAAAAGAAGAGTCGTACCTTAACATAGGTCCATAACGCGGTCCAAAATGCACAATTTTTTTTTTCTTTTACAATTACACAAAAGAAAAATTAATAATAGTAATAAATAATTTAAAAGAAAAAGAAACTGCGGGAGGAGGAAAGACTGCTGATTCCTTTGTCCGGACGCGAGAGTTTTGGGTAATTTCAAGTTGGACAGATGGGAGACACTACGGCCCGCCAAATTTCGCCACGGCTCTAATAACTAAACAGCGCACGTTAGTAATCTCAAGTGTAATCATCCCGTATCGTGCGCTTGGATGCGTCATGCGCTTCTGTGCGCACACGCCACACGCGGCAAAACCGAAAGCCCGTTAAGACCAGGAAGCGAGAGAGTTCGAAGAGAGAGAGAGAGAGAGAGAGAGAGGATGGAGAGCGAGCCAACTCGGATAATGGTGGCGGTGAACGAGTCGACGATCAAGGGCTATCCTCACGCCTCCATAAGCAGCAGAGGAGCTTTCGAGTGGACTCTCCAGAAGATCGTCCGCTCCAACACCTCCGGCTTCAAGCTCCTCTTTCTCCATGTCCAAGTCGCCGACGAAGACGGTTCTTCTCTTCTCTCTTACTTTGTCTCTATTTTCCTTTTTTTGATTTCTTCGATTCTTTCGTTTAGCCTCTGTTTGGTTGCCGAGAAAAGGAAGAAAAGGAAAAATAGGGAGGAGAAGGATGATCGGAATATGGAAGCCGGAAAAATTGAACTAAATTTGGGCTAGGGTTAGGGTTGGAGATTACTTGAAATTCAAAATTACTTTTATTTTCATTCTGGTTTCTGGAATCTGGAAATGGAGGTTGATGCCACTAATTTTGGAATGAAGCTACTTAAGTGTGTGGATTAATTGCACCGATCACTAGGGAAACCTAATTTAGGGCTTTGAAGCTTAATTACATGATTCCTGTAGTTTTTAATTGGAATTGATAGATGGTGATACTTAGTGAAATGGTGGCTGAAACCAAGCAATCATATGTTGGATTTTAGTCTACTTCTAGCGATTCACCGACATTGCGCTCCTACTTGCTTTGTCGTAGAATGAAGAGTTTTTTGATAATCTTATTGTCTACTTGAATCAGATAGATACTTATTCAAGCTGCGTTGTTGTTATTAACTTTTTTAAAGAAAAAAATATTCTACAGCGAAAAAGGATAAATGATTTATGATTCATATGATCTATAAAGGGGTAGTTTGTAATCACCAATATGTGTTTTTGCTATTTGTTTAGTTTGTGTTAGGTCAGACTACTTTAGAATTACAATCATGGCTTTTGTAGGGGTGGTCTTTCTCAAATATGGCCTGTTATAGTGGCCAAAAATCTAGTCAAACTTTGCGTTATTTAATTTACGTTCTTATTAGTTGTCTTTAAGTTACCTTTCTGTTAGGGCATAACAGCATCAACTTCTTGTTATTGCATTGCATATCCTCTGGTTTGGTTGTATCTAATAAGAACTATACTCTTGGTTTCAAACGACGTCTTTCTTCTACAGGCTTTGATGATATAGATAGTATCTATGCTTCATCTGAAGATTTTAAGAACATGAAGCGTAGAGACAAGGCCAGAGGGCTTCATCTGCTGGAGAATTTTGTTAACAAATGCCATGAAATTGGGGTGCTGATAGTCTCTCTCGCTCTCTCTTTCTTTCACACACACACGCGTGCGCGCACGCCCACATACACATATGTGTGTCTGGAAACAATTTTGAAAAGCATGTGAGGAAAATTTCAATGCCGTTATACTTCGGGGATATATTGTAAGACATCAATAACCAATATTTTTGTATTAGAGTGATGTTGTCGCTCACATTGTTTATTTTGGCATGCTTGAAGGTTTTATGTGAAGCATGGATCAAAAAAGGTGATCCCAAAGAGGTGATCTGTCACGAGGTGAAACGCGTACAGCCAGATCTTCTGGTCGTTGGCAGCCGGGGTCTTGGTCCTTTCCAAAGGTATGTGAATGCCCTTTGTATCACTGTATGGTCCTTTCAAGATTCCCTAAAAAATAATACCATCTAAATATACATTCCCCTCAAGTGAATTCCTTTTTCAATCTGTATTGCAGGGTTTTTGTCGGAACTGTGAGTGAATTTTGTGCAAAGCATGCTGAGTGCCCTGTTATCACCATCAAGCGCAAGGCTGATGAAGCACCTCAAGATCCAGTTGATGACTGATTTGTGTCGTCAAATTTGCATTGGCTTTCCCATCCCCCAATCTGTTAATAGTCTTCTAAGACCAGACACTGTTAGTAAGCTCTAGCAGAGCTATTAGAGAAATTGCCTGGGTAAACTTTTCATTCGGTGCAGTTGATGAAACATTACATGCGAATTTCTTGGCAGTGGATGTGGATGTTGTAAGTTGTCATTGTCATGTACTCATTTTGGGGAGATTGCTTTGTTACATTCGCTAATTTTGGTCATATATATTAAGGCTATATGGTTTGTTTGTTTTTTTTTTTTTTTTTTTTTTTTATTTAAAAAATCGGAACCCACTGTTTTTTTAAAAACAAGGC